TTGATCGAATTGACCAGTGAACTTGTAACTCGCTTGAGCTCCAAAAGACAAGTCCCCCGTTCTGTAAAATGCGCGTTCTTATATACCGAATTGACCGGAGCTTTTCGGTGTAGCGTACCGGTAAACTTCGTTGTTCGTGTTAACTTTTTGTGCTTTTCGTGTCTTTCTTGTGTATTTTGTGTATTGTCGTGTACTTCGTGTTATTTGCATTTTTGCGCACTTTTCTTCGCCTGACTTTTATGTTTGACATATTTCGCGTCTTTTGATTTATTTCGGAAAGAGAATTAAAATTTAAAACCACCATAAAGTGTTAGTTTTCAATTTAATTCAATTAATTATAACTTCCATTATTTAATAAATAAAATAAAACCCCAACGATATATATATGTGCGTGATATTGTGGTAGGAGAATTAGTGCAAGTGTCTGATTGTAATTATTGTTTTGTATGGTAGTTTGTTTATGTTAAAAAAAACATATATGATTAATAATTGATATAGTGTTTATAATTTTGTGTTTTACTACATATAGTGGAAAAATAAACCAAACGAAGAATTTACGGCAGCAGTGGGTTTTTTACTGATGTGTTGTTTTTTTTTTCTATTGTAAAAATGTAAACAATGAGTGTTTGTTTTATTTCTTTAAATTCATGTTTATTCAATAAAGATATAAAGTGTGTTTTATTGTTTAATAATTGTTCAATGTATGATTATTTGTAATTCAAAATTCATGTTTTCAAGTTGTGTTTTGTTGGTTTGTTGTTATTAATTTTCTCTTTTTTTTTTTCTTCTTCTTCAGTTTTGTTTATTAGTCTTATCCGCGGCTTATTAACGCATGGATTGCAGGTAATGTTATTGTCTTACCATCTTGTTAAGTAATAAAATAAATTTTATTCTTTTCAGGTTACATGCTGATCTTGTAGGGGTGAGTTGGGTTCTTTATTTGAATAGTCCATGGTGATGGTGTTGTGTTTTAGGCTGACGGTCTGACGTCAGATTTACACAAGAATTTATGTATGGTTTGAAATTGCTTTATAGAAATTTCAGCCTTTACATTCTCTCCCCTCTTCGGAAGATTAAAATTTTGTTGTCGCATTTTATTTCACCCAAACCTTTATTACGCCTTTCCGACTGATTTTCACTTGGTACGCCTTGCCTTCGACGACACGCTGGAAATTAATTCTTTTACCTGCACCACGTTTTCTGCGGGCATCGCAAATAGCTTGGCTCACCTCTGGTGGATATTTGTCCACAAATTTTCTGACTGTATCTGCTACTGATGGTTGCGATTCGGCTGCATTCTTTAATAACTCACTGTATAACTCGTCAATCACGGGTGTTGGTGGCGATCGATTTTGTTCATCAACCACATCGTTCCATGTACACTGTAGTACATCCTGGTCATCATTATCTATTTTTACTGTTGTCGAGGCTGCTGGAGCACGTGTTGGATCTCGGTGTGATTGTGTGTCACTGTTGTTCTGGTGGGTTTTTTTACATCGCCACCCAATGGCTTTCGGCAACATTTTCCGGTCTGATGGTCTTATTGTTGGTTGTATTTGGACATCTTCCATGGTTTGCTCTTTCTTACCAGGTTGGTTTTTGCGTAGCTTGTTTTTATCTTGTTTGGCTGTTTGTTCCATGGCGATTGGTAAGTAAAGGCTGCGTGGTTTGTTCTTTACTAATTTTTTTAGTTGTTGCTGCACACGTGCGGCTGTGCGCTTAAACTTGGTTTCCAAATCATCTGCCATCTTTGATTTTTTTGATCGAACTTAGCTTATTAAAACACGCGTGGTCCTTATATACGGCTAACATCCTGATGATTTGCGCTTTTTGAACCTTTGCAGCAGAGTAGCCTTTTTACTTTTTTCTTTGCTTATTATTTTGCACTCTACACCCTGAATATTTTTTTTTGTTAAATTAGCCAACTGACTGGAGACAGTTTGTTAATGGTGAAAGTCATTATTATCTTTATTACTTTAAATTATTATTGACTTATATTATTATGATTATATTATTATTATAATATTTTATTATTTTATATTTTATACGAAATGCAATAGATTTGTTTATTATATTTTTTTTTTTCAAGTGTGGGTTTTTTTTTTTGTTTTTATTTTCCATAATATATTAGGAGGTCAGCGATATGGGCTTTGATACGTATATTTCTCTTAGAATGAGGCACGATTTCTCTTTCGTTTCTTTGGACTCTTGAAAATTTTGTAGTAATCATCTTGGTTTTTGACATGATGATGGTCATCCTTTCGTTTAAATGTGCCTAGACGTCTCACGAGAGTTTCTGGTTTGTTTTCTTCGATAGGTGTAACATGTTGCGGAACTTGCTGTGGTTGTATTTCATGCGCTTGCACTTGATCTGGTATTACTCGGATTGGATGAAATACTTCTGGATTTTGTTTGATATATCTTGGACGTTGTTGTCGTTGTGCCTTTTGTATTTGAGTTTGTGATTCTTCACGATCTTGTGTGTATCGCTGTAGACTAAATACTTTCGGATTTTCTTCGATATGTTTTAAATTTCGCTGACGTTGTGCTTCTGGGATTTGGAACTCTTGTATCTCTTTGTTTGCTTTTGGATCATGCGATGGTGGTACAAGGCATTTACATGGCGCTTGCTCTTGTAAATTTTCTCGCAGTTTTACTGAATGCTTGTCTGGGTAAATCCGACATTGTGTGCTTTGTATTATACTTGGCTTGGATAGTGATGCTGTCTTTGAAGTTGCAATTTTATTTACTTCTGCTGTTGTTTGCTTATCTATCGACTGGTTATGTTGTTGGTTACTTTGCTGCTGGTTCCGGACAGGTGATACCGGGCCTAGACTATGGATATCTTCAACTAGTACTGGCGTCATGGATATGAGTCTCATTGTATTCTGTAATGGCATCGTTGGTTGATTATTTACAATACTATTTGTTGAACTATTACTGCTACTGTTATTACTGTTATTGCTGTCATTGGCTGCAACTGCTAGTGTTGAGGAATCATTAGAATTAGCTGTTTCATTCAAAATACTATTCAGATGATGTGATGGAGTTGAAGGAGTTTGTGGTTGTTGCTGTTGAGACGTAGATAGTGTCAATGGTGAGGAAACATGAGCTGGCGACATTGTTACTTGTGTAGAAGTCTGTTGTGGCTGAACTTGTGCCGTAATTCGAGTTTCGTTTACGTGGATTAGTCTTAAGTCCTTGCGGGGCCTAAATTTCGAGAGAACGGCTTCCCCACTGTTGGTCGTCCTCTTATCTCGTTTCCCGGATCTTCCTTGCAGCAGTCAAGGGTTCGTGTGTTCAGTTTTCCACAGATCCAACAAAAAAGAATTTTTGGATTTCGACAGATTCTTGCCATATGTCCCAATTTCCCACACCTTCGGCACGCATTTGGTGTGTCTTGGATTCTCTGCTCGAAAGATTGGACTAGGTGGTTTCTTTCCTCTCTTAGCCTTGGAGGTCCGGTTTTCTCTTGTTCTCCCCGTATAGCTTCGTAATCACCAGCCATGTCGATTAGTTCTCCCAATGTTTCGAAGTCTCGTCGTCGGATATAAAGCTAGTAGTCCGGATGTGCATTTCGATAAATTCGTTCTAGTTGAGCAGCGGCTCCTATATCTGCGTGTCGCATTAGAATTTGGATTGCTATAACATAGTCTTTGAATGTCTCCCGTGACCTCTGACGGCGGGCCCGGATTTCATCTTCTAACTTCTCAAAGTATCTTACCGGTAGAAAGAACTTGAGAAAGTCAGCTTTGAAAGCGGTCCATAATTTCCACTGGCTGTTATTACT